AACCCTTACAAGTACAGATGGGCAAAGCACCGGGTTTAAACCCGGTGCTTTGGTAAAAACCCAATAAACACCCATAAACTCCCATAATCACCCAAAAAAATAGGTTTTTACGTATTTTTTTGAAAATATGTAAGTAATACCAATAAATTATTTTTATAAATTGTATTGATCAATTCTACAATATTAAATAAAACGTTAACTAATAATATTTCAGGAAATTTTAAAAATCTATATATAATAAAATGAAAGTAATTAATTTTCAGTGTTTTCATGTTGCAGTTGATCAACATGTTGGCCTTTTGCTTCCCGTAGATACTTTAAAATTTCTTCATAACACCTCGTTCGCACACATGGCCGTATATATTTAAATTCTTGAGCCACTAACAGTCCGAAATACTCATTTCTTTTATCCTCTTCTCCATAAATTAAGCATTTAGAACAGTTTGTTTCTTCTTTCAGTAAATTTTCTTTTACTTTATCCTCGTTTTTTTCTTTGTTGCGACGACGCTGGGTAAATCATCTGGACACTGGGTCTCACTATCGCCAAATATATTTGGAGATCGGCTTCGGCTACGGCTTGGCAGACATTTTTTTCTTTCTACAATTTTAAATTAAATTTATTAGAATAAATGCTTCGAACACACGCGATCTAAGTACCTTTTGTGTTTATTATACCTTACCTACCTAGGTATAAAAAGAGTACTTACGTAGATTTTCTTTTATTAACTGTTTTATACGAAGATCTTGATCTCTCAAATTAGCATCCATTTTACTTCCAGTGATTATCAACTAAATTAATAATCCACAAAGTATTAAATAACGTTTTTATGAAATATTTAGCACAAAAACAATACCCTTTAAATATCGATCGTCAGTAACTGTGGCTGACTTACCTATATTCTAGCAAGCAGGACTGCCAGATGTGAAGGGGAAATCCCCAATAAATTGTTGCATGTGACTGATGATGTGAGCATGTTCGTTTCATAATAAAAATGTTGCCAGGTAACCAAAAAGTCGTATGTTTTTGTGCGAATTACGATCATAATCTTTACGATCGTACATTAAAAAATAGACAAATAATAGTATGAGTACGATTTAAATCGTATATCTGTCAACCCTGCTAGCAAGACAGCGACAAAATCACGTTGCATAACAATGTAGCCCAAGCTTATATCTTATGAAATATACGGAAGAGATACGGACTTAGAAAAAACAGAAATGTTGTTCTTTGTGGAAGTCATTGATGAAATTCTATGTATTTTAGCCCGCAAACTTTCTTCAAACAAAAACAGCGCCATCTAGTATCGAGTTCTGTAATTATCTCTTTGTTTATGGATTTGAAGTAAGACCGCCACGCATGCAATACATTATGACTGGGGATTCCCCTATTCGTCGACGCTGAATATGAGGCGACGACAATCACTGTCAAACGTGTTCACTATTACTCTGACTCTGGTAACGTGACTTCCTGGTAACGTGTTAGGTAGGAAAAGCAGTAAAAAAGTGCATATTAAGGGAGCAGATTTGAAATAATATTTATACTTAACAAGAAATAATTAAAGGTAAGTGGATTTTTGAATGATACAATTATATCATGATCACTTAACAATTTTAACTTAAAATTAGATGTATTATTACAAGCTTTTATTTAGCTTGCGTTATGTAAATAAAAGTATGTAGGTATGTTCGTATGTTGATGCAATTATCCTCAATCCTCAACCGACTGGGATAAAATTTTCCATACACGTTTATTTTGGATGATAGTGCATAGTTAGCTGAGAGTCGTCATTGGATAATAATGGTGGATAGCCTAAGATGTGTACTAGATATTTATTTTTAACATAATATGCGTAAGTACCTAATCGAATTAAAGAAGTTGCTGAGAAAAATACAGAACAATACGATAATAAACTAGCGTCTGCGTTTAATCCTCCGAGGAGATGTAATTTTACAAAGGTTTTTTGTATTTATTTTATTATTTTTTTAATAAATTTATTGTAAATAACAAGAAATAATCATTGTAAAAAAATAGGCACTCTATTGTTGAATTTTCGTCAGACCAACTAATCATCGTTCATTTTTTTAGGTTCAATGGGGAGACCTAAAGATTTACGCATATGGGAGCACTACCGTACTTTACCAAACAAGTCTGTTTCTTGCAAGCTTTGTAATAAGGTCTACAAATTCAGTAATGCTGCCAAAATGCTTCAACATCTTATCACTTGTCCAAAATCTCCAGAAACATTAAAAGACTCTATGAAACTTATAAAAGATAGCTCGTCCAAAACCAAAATGTCTGGACTGTCAGAGATAGAGACAAATGATTCTTTTATAAGCCCCTCGTCGTCTGCTAACACTACAATAAATGCTGAGTTTCAAGACACCGATGATCATATAAAAACAGAATTAGCGAGAGCTATATTTGTAACAGGGACGCCATTATCGATGGTGCAACATCCTTTATGGATACAATTTTTCGAAAAATTGCAACCAAAATTTAAAATACCTTCACGTAAAGCTTTAGCGACAAAATACTTAGATAAAATATATAGAGAAATGCGTTTTGAGTTAAATGAGGAACTAAATGCTTGTAGTTACTTACACCTTCAGTGCGATGGCTGGTCTAATTTAAGAAATGAAGGAATAATAAACTTTCTTATATCAAAACCTCAACCTGCATACGTTAAAAGTTTGAATACAGAAAGTAATCCTCACACTAGTGAATACCTTAGCCAAGAAGTTGAAAAAGTAATGAAAGTGTATGGAGCAAATAAGTTTCTTGTACTTATTGGCGATAACGCTAGAAATATACAAAAGGCATTCGAATTAACAAAACTCAAATATCCACATGTTGTTCCTCTCGGTTGCTGTGCACATATCCTTAACTTGTTGTGCCAAGATATTGTAAAGATACAAGAAGTAACTGTGTTTATTATGCAAGCCATAAATATAATAAAAACTGTTAAAAGGAGTCAACGATTAAGTTCCTTGTTGATAAAATCAAGGCAGGGTGAAGATTCTACACAAACACTAAAATTGCCTTGTGCTACAAGATGGGGAAGTCATGTTACTTCGTTAAAAAGTTTGAAAGCAAATAAGATAGCTTTGCAAATATTAACAGTTAGAGAAGATGTGGTAATTTCAAGAGATATTAAAGATTTAATTCTAAGTGATGATTTCTGGACGAAGACAGGGGAATGTATAAGTATTTTGGAACCAGTCACTGAAAGCATATTTTACTTAGAGAGCGACCAGAATCGTTTGCATCGCACATACGAGGTCTGTCCGGAAAGTTCGTATAAAAGTGTTCTGGAATGCGAGAAAGAGGAGTGGGGAGGCCAGGTAAGCGCAGGACCCCTTCCTTATGTCCCTAACAATGCTTCAGTTCTGGTCTAGCGAACTGGCTTGTCACGCCATGTGAAGTTACTTAACGAAACCCCGTCGGCATGGAGCCCGCTTCCGTTGAAGAGCAGCGCGTCGTTTCGAAACTCGGCAAGAATGGCCGTGAAATTTTTGCCGATCTCAGAACAGTTTATGGGGATGATGCTTTGAAGGAACCAACCGTCCACAAGTGGCTAAAAAGATTCAGAGAGGGCCGAGAAAGAGTTCGATGTTCGGGGGATTGTCCATCAAGAATTCGTCCCTCCAGGCCAGACAGTTGATGGAAAATTCTACGTCGATGTGCTCAGACTTCAAAGCTCGTGTGGCACGAGTTCGTCCAGAATTGGCGCGAGAGGGGCGTTGGATTCTTCACCACGACAATGCCCCTGCCCACACCTCTCTTGTTGTCCGTGAGTTTTTGAGTAAAAATTCCATTCGGTGACCGAACACCCCCCTATTCGCCGGATTTGGCCCCGTGTGACTTCTTCTTGTTCCCAAAAACCAAATTGGTACTTCGGGGGCGGCATGTGGGGGACATAAATGAGATAAAAAAAGCTACGACGGGGCAGCTGAGAAACCTACAACCAGAGGACTTGCAAGGAGCCTTCTCACAGTGGAAACGGCGTTGGCACAAGTGCATTATGTCACAGGGGGAGTACTTTGAAGGGGATAAAATTGATTTACCTGAATAATTGTAAAATAAAATTTTTAAAAAACTTTTATACGTACTTTCCGGACAAACCTCGTACATTACATTTAGAGATGTACAAGCTAAGATACGTTTTGCATTAAATGAGATTTCGACATTGAGCGAAGAAAGCAAACAGCAGATTCTAACATCAGTATCTTCAAGATGCAATATGGCAATGAGGCCAATACATTTTGCAGCATATATTCTAGACCCCAGGACTCTAGGAGTCGAACTTACTCAAGAGGAAGAACTTAAGGGTATGGAGTTTATCTACAATTTAAGCCAACACTTAAGTTTGTCAAATGTAATGGCAGATTTGGCGTGTTATAAAGCTAAAGAAAACTTTTGGGCCAGAGGATTTGTATGGAGCTCATTAGATAGCATTGAGCCCCTAATATGGTGGAAAGGTATTTGTGGTTCCACTGAGTTAAGCAAAGTAGCGATTCGTATTCTATCAGCTCCCTGTACTTCGGCAGCCACTGAGCGTTCCTTTAGTATCCAAGGCTACATACATAATAACAAAAGAAATCGACTTACAACTGAAAGAACTGAAAAAATTTCATTCATTTGTTATAACTGGAATCTTAAACATAAAGCTGAATGCGAGGACATTCAGTTTAATGAAGAAAATACCTTAGAAGCTTTCATTGAGCAAGTAAATGAACATAACAGTTTAGACGAAATAGAGCCTATCGAACCTATACAATTCATCGCTTGTAATAACTCTGAATCTGACAGTGATTGACTGTAGTTTTACATTTTACTTTCATCTCTTTCTTAATAAACTCAAAATCAAATTAAAAGTTTTTTATTCTGTAGGCTGCATAATAATATTGTCTATGTCCAGTATAGTGGACGTCTTGCGGCTGAGATGACGATGATGAAGTACAAAATCATAAACACCCAATAATTATTCAAACATATATATCGATATTTTTAAAATATCGATATATATGTTCGATATATCGCAAAGTATCGATATAACATTACGATATATTATATCGAAAAAAATATCGATATTTTTTTTACATGAACATCCCTACTCTAGATGTTCGTGGATCTGTGCGGGATGCCCAGGAACGTCAGGAAGGCCAACTGAACGAGGACACGCTCGATGCGGCAATTATCAAAGGCTAGTGCTGTCCCTCTCGCTCGCTACAGGGCTAAAACGCATGTGAAGTTTGGTTCGACTGCGCCTGTGTCCCGTGACGTATAGCATACATTGTTTTAACTTATCTACTGCGTAGTTAGTCGGAGAGACTTTTATTATTATGTACACTAAATATATTTTACCTAAATAAACTCTTCCTACAACATATGAAATTAGAGTAACGCCATTACGTAGGCTATCCTTACAATATACACTCCTCGCAAAAATTAAGGGAACATAAAAATTTTTGAAATTTTTGGGTGATTTTCAACAGGCTGTATTTCAGTGAAAAATAATCGTACAGGAAATTTAAAAAAAGGGTTTTGAAGCTTGAAAACTCTAGTTTTCAGATTTTTTGGTGAAAAATTTTTTTGAGCTCCGGTTTCCATGCAATTCTTAAACAAAGCTGAAAATAATTTTTTTCTAAATTTTCTAGGTTTCGTTTTTCACTCTATGGGCATGGAAAAATTTTTTCGAGCTACTCCATTGTATAGGTCTCTTAGCGTGTTTATTCAGCTTCAAAAATCGCTTTGGATGGCTCAATTACGACCATTTGTCTCCGAGATATCGAACTTTGAATGCAAAAGCATCCTTTTCCATTCAACTGCTAATATCTCTGGAACTACTGGTCGCACAGCAAGCAAAAATTTTTCTTAAAAATTTTCTTGATTTTTTTCGATTTTTTTTTTTGATAATGAATTTTTAAAAAACAAAAAATTGAGTAAAAAGTGAAAAACAAATGAAATTATTGATTTTTGAATGGATTAGGGTGAGTTTAAGGGACAAAAACCTTGTTCCCTTATTTTTTCCAAAATTTCAATCAATTGGTCCGGGAAAAACCGTTGAACCGATCGCTCCAGGGATTTAGGGGGTTCTTTAAGGAACAATAGACTGTAAAATTTTCCTCAAACCTTAGCTTTCTCGCCCATATTAGCGAAGATACAGCCAAGTAACCAAAAAAGGAGAAAAAGTCACTTTTTTCCACTTTTTTCAATTCAATGTTAGAGGTGGAAAAAAATTTTTTCTTCACTAACTCTTGACTGTGCTTAATTGGAAATTTTATGCAGATAAAGAAACTCGGCGCCCGCTTGCTGTGCGACCAGTAGTTCCAGAGATATTAGCAGTTGAATGGAAAAGGATGCTTTTGCATTCAAAGTTCGATATATCGGAGACAAATGGTCGTAATTGAGCCATCCAAAGCGATTTTTGAAGCTGAATAAACACGCTAAGAGACCTATACAATGGAGTAGCTCGAAAAAATTTTTCCATGCCCATAGAGTGAAAAACGAAACCTAGAAAATTTAGAAAAAAATTATTTTCAGCTTTGTTTAAGAATTGCATGGAAACCGGAGCTCAAAAAAATTTTTCACCAAAAAATCTGAAAACTAGAGTTTTCAAGCTTCAAAACCCTTTTTTTAAATTTCCTGTACGATTATTTTTCACTGAAATACAGCCTGTTGAAAATCACCCAAAAATTTCAAAAATTTTTATGTTCCCTTAATTTTTGCGAGGAGTGTATTAAATATTAAAAATAATAATAACCTTTTTGAGAAGCGCATAACCTTCAAATGTGTCTGTTTTTTTAGGACGTTTGTTCCGTTGTGGAACAGGCTAAGGTCGGAGACCATGCTGTCTAGCCTTCAATATGATAAATTGTCTGGAATCAAACGTGTCTGTGTTTATAGCCTGACCAATAAAATAAAAAACCTCGCCATATTGCGGAAAACTATTGGAACTAATTTCTTCAACTGGCAACCATCTATAAGAGATGTCATTATTGTCATCTGTCAAAGTGTGTTGTCGATTGTGCGTGGTGTATTTCTTGGTTAAGTGAGTTATTTCAGCGTTAAAATGCCAAAAACGATTAAAAGCCAGTTAAGAAAAGTTATTTATAATATAAATAATTACTTGTCAGAAAGAAGGTCTGAAGGAATTGACTCTATTCCTCTAAACAACATCACGGACCTTGTTGTTAACATGACTGGTAGGTAACTCATATACTACGTCCAATATGAATTGGCTAATTTGTGACTAATTTTTAATTTAAAAGTTCTGTTTTTTTATTTTTGTTTTTTTTTTTTTTGTATAGGTATATCCCGATCGTCCGTAATGAAAATACGAAGAGAAGGTCAGACCTCAGTTGTATTTTCTACACCCAAGAAAAATAAACCTAAAACAAAAAAGAAAATCAATTTGGATGATTTCGATCTCTGTGCAATTAGGCATAAATTACAAGAATTTTATGCCGTCCGAAAAGAAGTACCGAGTTTGAAGCGGTTGCTTGCAGCTCTGAAAGAATCAATAAATTTTGTTGGTGGCAGGGAGTCTCTTCGTTTACTGTTACACACATTAGGTTATAAATTTAAAAAATGTAGAAATCAAAGGACAATTCTTATGGAGCGGTATGATATAGTAGCATGGAGGGATAGATATCTACAAGAAATCAAAGATGTAAGGAAGAGTGGTATGCCAGTTGTATACCTTGATGAAAGTTATATTCATACTTCGCTCAATCAAGCTAAATGCTGGCAAAGTGAAAATGAGCCTGGTGGATCTAAATCTGTGGCTAAAGGCAAAAGATATGTCATTGTCCATTGTGGTGGCAAGACTGGGTTCGTCCCTAATGCTTTATTAATTTATAATGACAAAGAAAAAAAAGATTTCCATGACGCCATGAATACAGTTAATTTTAAGAAATGGGTATTGGATAAATTAATACCCAATTTGCATGAACCTACCTGTATAGTCATGGACAACGCTAGATATCATTCTAGCCAAATCAACAAGCCACCGAGCATGATAAATAGAAAAAAAGAAATTACAGACTGGCTTTCATCAAATAATATTGCCTACCCTACCAATGCTACCAAAAGTATGCTAATGGTTATAGTAAAACAAAATAAACCTGACCCAATATATGAAATAGATCATTTAGTACAGGATTATGGTCACAAAATAGTAAGACTGCCTCCTTATCATTGTGACCTCAATCCTATTGAGATGATATGGGGCATAGTAAAAGGGAAGGTTGCCACAAAGAATGTTGGTTTAGACAATATCACATTCATGCAGCTTGTAAAAAACTGTTTTGAGGTAAATATCACATTTCATCTAATATAATATTAAATATTTTGTTTAGATACAGTTACTGACTTATTAATTATTTTTCTAGGATACATGGAATAATTGTTGTGAGCATACAAAGAAAATAGAATAAGATTTTAGACAAAGGGGACCAGTAATTGACGGAGAAATTGAAAAATTTATTATAAATGTTGGTGACGATAGTGAAACATCCAGTGATACAAGTAGCAATGAATCTGTTATATCTGAAATTGAAACACAACAATCAGACAATGAAGATCATGAAACATATGAATCTGTTGAATATTTGGATTCTGACTTTGAAGACTTATGCTATTAAAATATTAAATAAAGCTAATACTGAAATAATAAAGTTGTACTTTTTTAAACTGCCTAATTAGAATCAGAATCAGAATGCCTATAGTTTACTTTTAAGGAAGTTTATTTCACAATACTTTAAAAATTAAATATTTACTTTAAAAAAAAACTTGTAGTAGGAACAACCTTTAAAAAGTAAATTTTAACTGTCCTTCCTGAGTCGTTAGAAAAGAAAGAAATAAACCTAGATTGTATTGTAATGATTAAAAAAAATTTAAACGTCGATTCTTCTTCTAGCCGCGAATTTAAATAAATAGTAGGTAAACTAACTTTTTGCGATAGTTTATATTAAATTAAACACTAGCTAAAAAAAGTACACTTGCCAATTCGCAATAGTATGACTATAGTAGATGTTGCCATAATTATAGCGCCCTCAGAGCAGGTTTTTTTATTTTTTTGGTCAGGCTTTATCCTGTTTTTCAACTAAGAAACGAATCCACACAGACAAAACATCCCCATCTTTTTTGTGTCTGATATAAAAACTTTTTTTGGGCTGCGGTATTTCAGTAGCCTAAAACAGAAAAAAAAAAATTAAGTCCCCCAATAACAAAGAGGATTCAAGAAAAGAAATGAAATAAGATTAAGCTGTATGGGTTTTAGTCCCCTATCCTACGCCTTTCACTATGGAATAAATTTAATAACAACAACGTAACCTAGACAATTGTATACCGAAATGCCTACCAACTCGATTCCACGATTGTGTGCTCTAGATGAGCGAATGGAATAGTCTCTATTCTCTGATTACACTGTACTAAGACCTTTTATTTGGCCCGTAAAATAAAAGAATACACTATAGTGGCAGCCCAATACAAGGCCGAACATTTAGTAATTGAAAGTGGTGCAAGTTTGTTAACAAAAGACTGTGTGAAAACCATTTGTTTATTGCCGAGTGTTATTTTACAGCCAAATTTATTATCATTAGTTCTAGAACATTCGACAAATGGACAGTCCAGGTTCAATGCTTTCATATTTTTACGAGAATTTTGGGGTATAGACATTCCGTATAGTAATTACAATGTATCTAAGTAGTAAGGGTGTATATAATTGTCACATAAGATTCAAAAAGAAATTTAACATTGTATTGTGTATACTTTTGTGATATTTCAATTTCCATTTTTTGTTTGAAATTCTTATTCTCATACTGCCATGGACAATATAGAGTGACAAAGACGAAACGAACAATTTTGGATCTAGTTGATAGTACAATGTTGCCAACATTACCTCACGAAATAGTGATGTACATATGTCGATAAAATTTAGTGAATGACGAGTCGATATCGAAAATCGATTTGATAATAAATAATTATAGTTGTGAACTTTTAAATGGTTATTACACGTTATAGAGCTAAGTTTAGTGAGTGAGGATAGTTCACGGATTTTTACTATAACTTTTTTTTTACAACACAGGGGGCAAACGAGCATGCGATTCACCTGATAGTAAGTAACTACCGCAGCCCATGATCACCCTCAACACTAGCGGCATTGTAGGTGTGCTGCCGGTCTTTCTAACTGCCAGTTCAGTGACGTCGGCTGACGCAGCTGCACCTGTCGCGAGTATGCAATGCATGCGACCGCTTGTCATCTCAGGCACAGCTGATGACACACTTCAACACAGCGTGTTCCAGCCTGGCTCCGGCGAAATTGGTGGGGTGCACACTATGTCGATACTGCCGATAATTTTGCCAGATGTACTGTACATTTTAATGGAACTGGAGATGTACAAACTTTTGTAGATGCTATTCTTATATACAAGGAATATGTTAGTGTCTCATGAAATAGCGCTTCGTGGTATGCCAATGCTTTTGACAGATTTCGCAGCAACCTGGTGGCAAGGAATCAAGCACTCTGTGATGACCTGGAATGAGGCGATACAACTTCTTCAGGGTGCATATGGTATTCAATTACCGCCACAGAAGGTGTATAGACGCCTGTTCGAACGAGAACAAGGAGATGAAGCTACTGCTATTTTTGTGACTAAAGCGAGAGCGCTGATTAGTCAGTTGACGCTGCTATTTACTGCATCAGGTAGGCGAGCTTTCTTACGTCTTTTCTGGTTACCTTTAAGTGGAGATTCAGAGGGCCACATAATTGCTAAAGCAAATGCAAGGCTTATTGGTTGAAGGGGTTTTCTTGTACAAGGCGATTCTAGCTCGATGTGCTTTGTGCTAATAATGACTGCAGATTCATGTTGAGATGGCGTTCTAATATTTAAATGGTCAATGTTGCTAATAAAATCTTTTTTCATTTGTTCTGTTTTTGTTTGATAATTTTCTTCAAAATTGATGTCATCTTCATGTGGTGTAACATTTTGATTTAAGTTAGGCTCTTGTTCTTCTGCTGCTTGCTTTACTCTTAGCTATTTTTTGTTACACATAAAGCAATTCCTTTGCTGATTCGTCGTCAGTTCACCACGACACCATTCTACAACTGAAGAAGAGGAGTCTTTAATCAAAACGCAATAGCTACGAACGACTACAGTATCGCTGTATACGCGCAGTAGAGGCGCATTTCACGATCGCCCCGTGTGCTTAAGTTACAAGGTTGCATTCGAATTTCGTTTGAAGCGTTTATACGCGAGTCACATGCGCGTCTTCTATGCGTTTAAAATACACCGTGTGCTATGGGCCAAAGTGATCCCTACGGTTTGGAATATTCGGGTGCGATGCACGGGGCGCGGGGCGCAGGGTAACGGTTGTGTGGTGTGGGTCAGAAACCTTCTAGTACGCCCTTGCCATTGTACGATCACTTGTCCTGATGGATTCGTCCGATGGAAACGGTGGCTGACAATGGCTGGGGACTGGTGCACCCCGGGCATCGACGGTAAGTGACTTCTTGCTGTAGGGATTTCACTTACCGACGACTAATATTCGGACACTGCAGGCAGTATATGCTCTCCGCTTTGTTAATCAAGTCGACAATTCTGGGGATAACTAGCCTGCCCTACTTCGTTTATCTCTTCTTTTATTTCCTCTTCATTGTTTTGTTTTGGTTCACTTTTGTTTTTGTTTTTCTCTCTATCCTTTCCTGTTCTTTTGCCTATTCTGTCGTTTTGTTTCCTTTCTGTTTCTTTTTTTCTTTTTTTACGGGGTGGCAGCGGCGGTCCTATAGGCCGTCCCTGTAATGGGCGAGGATGCTCGCCCTGATGTTTGTTGTGGCTTCAACAAATTGGGGCCTCTAGTGGGTCGACGGGTCCGGTGGGTGCTTACCTGCACAGCCGGATTGGCCTTGTGCCACCATCGACAAACCCGTAATCCCTCGCGGAGGTGTGGTCATGTTTTACACCCGAGCGAGAGGACGGGGGCTTTGGCTTAAACGCCTGGGCCGCGAGGAAACAACCTCTACAAAAATCGTTTGTTTAAGCTCCGGTGTCTAGCGAGGGACAGTTCACCCTGCAGAGCACGCCACTGGATACTTATTTCGGCTGGCGTGTTCTGCGGGGTGGGCGGGTCGGTGACGTAATATCGGCCGCAAGGGCACCAACCTTTGGGCACCTGCCGCACCCAAAGCGTAGTAGGCCGTGCATGGAAGCAGGAGGCGACCCCATCGGAGCGGAGGCGCCAGGGTGCCGAGCCTTCCAGCCTGGAAGTTGCGCTGCGGAAATTCCACGTATGACGGATCCTGCAGCGGGAGTGGGAACAGCAGCTGGCCCATCCATCGGCCGGCCGGAGGACCGTCGAGGCTATCCGTCCACTTCTTAAGAAGTGGATGGATAGGCGGCAAAGGCCGCTGACCTTCAAGATGACACACGACACACATACACGAAACATCGATATGATTAATTTAGCTCGAGACAACAACGTGATAATTGTTTGCTTGCCGCCACATTGCACTCATAAAATGCAGACAATGGATGTGGCATTTATGAAGCCACTAAAAGCTTATTACTCTCAAGAAATTGAAACTTGGCTGCGTAATAATCCGGGACGCACACTAACAAATAAATATGTAGCCAGATTATTTGGGACGGCTTATGAAAAAGCGGCTACCATGACCAACGCCGTAAATAGTTTTCGCAAAACTGGGTTATTTCCCTGTAATCGAAATATTTTTACAGACGAAGAGTTTTCAATCTTTGATGAAGAGGATCAATAACAAGAATCACAAAATGTTCAGAAAACTGTCGAGAACACAAATCCGGAGGATACAAGTTGTATGCTTACTTCGATTGAAAACCAATTAGAGCCAACTGAAGTGTTATCCAATAGCGGTATTTCCAATGAAAATCCTCCTGATGAGCCTCAAGAATTGACATCTTCTAAGGCATCAACAAGAGCTAGTGTTTATGACAATCCACTACCATCGTCTTGTGGTTCACCATTTGCTCTTAAGCCAGTGCCTAGGTTGCCTAAAAACAATTCTTCTAAGAAAACTCGAACTGGAGCAGCTTTTGTAATTACAGCTTCTCCGTATAAGAATTCACTGTAGGGGAAATTTTTCAGGGGCCGAATCCGGGCAGGGTCTAAGAGACGATGTTTGCGGACGAGCTCAGATTCCGACTCTGGCTCGGAAGTCATGCACTGATCATCGCCTTCTTCTATGGCGAAAGGAGCGCGCAGAGGACGTGGTCGGCCGCCAACAACCGGCCAATACATCGGGCTCGCCAAAGCTCAAGAATACTTAAACAAAGCGAAAAGGGAAGAACTTGAGCTGCGGGCTATGGAGGAGGTATTGGTCCTGGCACGCCGGGTTCTTCCGCGCAGAGGCGCGCAGGCAGCGTTGCCCGCTACGGAGCAGGCAAAAACCACTCATGAGCCGTCCAAGGTAATCGATGACGCCATGGAAGTGGTCGCCCAGATAGCTGCCAAGTCCAAAAACCTGAAGGGTGGCTATATTCGTGACCTAAAGAACGTGGTCGCAACGGTCAGGTCAGCGACTGCGAACATAGCCCAGTGTACCTCTTCTGAGGACAACATGCGGCTAATTGAAGAGAATGCGCACCTGCGTGCGGA